CACGCCATTTCAGAAGATGACAACCCTGGAAGGAACACGCCATTTCAGAAGATGACGGCAACCCTGGAAGGAACACGCCATTTCAGAAGATGACACAACCCTGGGAGGAGCACGCCATTTCAGAAGATGACACAACCCTGGAAGGAGCACACCATTTCAGAAGATGACGGCAACCCTGGAAGGAGCACGCCATTTCAGAAGATGAAGGGCGCAGCAAGGTCTGTCAGGGAGGGTCTGCAGCTTTGAACAGACTCCTTACAGAAATGAGAGGGTGTGTGCTGCCGTGCCCTCTGCTTCCAGCTGCTCTTCATGGTTTGGCTCCCACCACCGTCCCTATTTAACGTTGGTGCTCATTGTAAGGATTAATTCTAAGGTCATTTGCAGGATGTATCAAAGCGTGTGAGATAACAGCTAGTCGGTGCTCTTTTGAGTCTGTCGTCCACAGGATCATCACTGTTCTGGGTTCACCATCCTAAGGCTTTAAGCTGGCCTTTGCATTCTGACACTTTCTTGTTTTCGGCTAACATTCAACAAGCTGCGGCTGTTATGAATGGGAAGCTCCTTACCTCTTTCCATAAAACTCCATGACTGGCACTGAGTAAAATTCTTTGTATCCTGAATCTTCTGCAAAGGTATTAGCAGCACACTCCTGTATTTTCTCCACATTTTTCTAAAATACAAATCACACATTAAAAATTTTTTAAACAAACTTAATAATGAAAAGATCCATTATATGAAATTGTATACATGCAAATGGAAAAAAATAAAGCCCCAGAGAAATTTGGTAATAACTGTGTGCATCCAGTTCCCAGTTTGAGAATAGATAACAAAGATTAAAAAGAAAATACATAACAGGTATGATGACGTATAATGTAGATAGACAAAGAACAAACAAATAAGGGGACTGATGCACATGATGTCATCTGGCTCCTGGGGACTCACTCTTCTCAAACTCAAGCTGTTTTTTTTTTTCTTGTCATAATTTTTGAGAAACATGAATGGATTAGCTTAAGTGTCCAAGGATTTGGTTTTTTGGGTCTCTCTCTCTCTCTCTCTCTCTCTCTCTCTCTCTCTCTCTCTCTCTCTCTCTCTCTCTCAGTCACTCTATGATGTGTGGTTGGTTGGCTTTGAACTCATGACCCTCCTGTCCCTGCTGGCATTTCAGGTGTATGCCACCAGGATCAGCCACGTGTTCGTGGATTTCTATTGTATACTTTAGTTAACGATCCAAGGACAAAAGTTGCTCATTTGGAATCTGTAAAGTCTGATGGAAGCGACTGTATCTGATTTGTCTATTGGCTTCTTCTCCAACACAGTTGCTGGGAAGTAGCTGCACTCGGTTCATGCTTGTTTCAATGTGTGAGAAAAGCTAGTGAACTGTGAGGATGATTGTCTAGAGGTGTGTACAGTACCTGCACCCACAGAAGCTCTTTCTCAGTAAAAACCTGTAAAGACAGCTCAAACAACAAAACATTTCAGAAATGCTAATAATTCAAAAACCTTAAAGTCATCCAAAGCATTCTCAACTGGATTCGTGCTGATATCAAATTCAATTCCTCCATGAACATGGAAATACTGGTGTTCTTTGTAGTCAAAATTCTGGCATTTAAAATCTCGTCCATAAATAAATGGAGGCAGTTCTCTCTCTGTCTTGACTTTGTCATCTCCAGAAATAAAAAGAAACTTTTATTTAAAATGTAGACAACAAATAGATGATTGTATTTTAGATATCTGATTACCATTCGTGTAAACAAAATGAAAAATCCAGATGAAATTTAGAATTTGGCAATAACTGACTATAAAATTATTTATTCTATCTTTCTCAGCACACACACACACACATACACACGCACGCACGCGCGCGCGCGCGCACACACACACACACATGTACATACATGCACACACACACACATACACACGCACGCACGCGCGCGCGCGCACACACACACACACATGTACATACATGCACACACACGCACACACACACACACGCACACACACGCACGCACACGCGTATCTGTGGTACTAGAGAGTGAATTTGGAGCCTTGAATACACACGTGCTCAGTCACTGAGCGACACCCCAGCCTTCTTCTACTCTTCATTTTGAGCCTTGTTCCACTATGTTGCCTAGGATACCCTTGAATTCCTTCTGTTTCACAGGTTAGACTTCAGTATGTGATCCTTTTGCCTCTGTCCTGAGCAGCTGGGACTAAGAGGCCTGTGCCATCAGGACCACCAGCAAATAAATAGATAAATAAGTAAATACACATATATCCATGTATTTCATTTTTATCAATACTATATGCATTATTGTTAATGTATTATATAATGCATACATACATACATACATACATACACACACACATATATGTATATGTTTTTCAAGACAGGGTTTCTCTGGGTAGCCCTGGCTGTCCTGGAACTCACTATGTAGACCAGGCTGGCCTCAAACTCAGAGATCCTGAGTGCTGGATTAAATAAAGGTATGCACCACCACTGCTCAGCAATAAAATATATTTCTATGCATTTTGAGCATTTCTTATGGTTTTACTGTATAAACATTTCAAAGGCATTGTTAAAATATTCTGATTGACAACTATGAGTCAATACTAACATATAACTCCTCAATTATTGGGTTGGAATTCTGTGACTTTGGTAATTTTTGTTTAAACAACAATAAAAACTCTCTTGAGCTTCTTCGGGGAAAAGAGACGCTCTAAAGAACCAAGTAGGCATTTCCATTTATAAAGAACTAAGTAGGTATTTCCATCTGTCTCAGTCAGTGCTCTGTTGCTGTAGAGACACCATAACCACAGCAACTCCTAAAGTCAGTGTTCTGTTACTATAGAGAGACACCATGACCACAGCAACTCTTATAGTGTTCTATTGCTGTAGAGAGACACCATGACCATGGCAACTCATAAAAGAAAGCATTTAATTGGGGCTGGCTTACAGTTTCAGAGGTTTAGTCCATTATTGTCATGGTAGGAAGCATTGTGATACTCAGACAGACATAGTGCTGGAGAAGGAGCTGAGAGTTCTACATATGGATCCCCAGGCAGCAGGAAGTGTGAGACACTGGGCCTGACTTGAACTTTTGGAACCCCCAAGCCCACCCCCAGTGGCAAACTTCCTCCCAAGTAGAGCCACTCCCTAAAGACCAAGCATTTAAATCTATGAGCATATGGGGGCCATTCTTATCCAAACCACTACATCATTTGATAAAAATAATCAGCTCCTATTACTGGAAAGTAATGAAAACATATATACTACTTATTTGAAAAACAATTTTCTGGAGGCTGGGGAGATGGCTCAATGGTTAAGAGCACTGGCTTAGAGGACCTAGGTTCAATTCTTAGCTCTCACACAGCAGCTCACAACTGTCTGTAACTCCATTTCCAGCGTATCCAACATCCTCATATGGACATACATGCAGGCAAAAACACAATGCACATGAAATAAAAGTAAATAATTAAAATAATTTTCTGAAATTCCAGCAAAGATGAAGTCTAATTTTGCTTATTCTCTTACCTGAAAATGGTGGAAGCAGACTATTTAAATATGGAACTTTCATCCTCTTTTTTAAACTGAGTAAAAACGGAATCAGAAAACATATTAACTTCAGATAGCCTATCCCTCTTCTGATTTCTTTTTTTTTCTCAAAGTGTTTTTGAATAACTTTTTTTTGAAGATACAGCCTTTGTTGTAGTCTCTGGTAAGTACAAATATCCAGATAATCCTGATTGTACTTTATAGCATTAGTGAGCCAATAGGCTGTCTCAAATATAAAGATGTTTTCATGCTGTTGAACTTGTGTGGTACTGAACGTCAGCTTTAGCATAATGTTTTCAGCATATTTCATAAATACAGCCTTTTCTTCAGGGCTATTGGGATCATATGTGGGATCTTCATTCATGTCTTCATCATAGATTCCATCAAAGTCTGGGTCATTTGTAATATCAACCAAACCTTCACAGGAAAAAACAGAAGAAGAAAGAAAAAAAATAGGTAGTAACAGACAAGAGATAAGGAAAAGGGGCTGTGAAATTTTCTGGGCCAGACACAGCCATTGCAGCCACGAACTACAGTTGTGGATGTCTCCACTGGGTCTACATGGGATTGGGTCCCTCAGGAGTCGTCGGGGGTGAGGGGCTTGAGATGACCTACTTCTCACTGCTGTACTCACAGCTAATAATAGATTCGTGGAAAAGGAGAGTCGTGCCCTTCAATTGTGTACCCACTGCTGATTCCACCAGACTCCAATGATGACAGAAAGGGTCCTGGTTAAACAAAGTGGACCAGAAAGCAAAACCTTAATTCATGAATCTGGGAAAGGGCATGGTAAAGAAGGGGATATTGATAGGATGAGAGGGAGTTGGGGTCAGGGATGTGAATATCATCACAAATTGTCAGGAAATATGCTGTCTCTGACCCCAGGCCTATCCCTGGTCATACATCCTATGAACCTGCCGGGCCTAGTGAGTCTCCTGGGCCCCTTTTTGCCTACACCATTCCAAACCTGCAGGCTGATCCCTACTTGCACATCTCAGTTGCTGGTCCAGTCTGGCAGCTGGGCCACATGATCCACAATCCTTGGGCCGAGCCTCAACTGAACTCACTGTGTGCTGGACTAAGCTGGTGAAGGCCTCATACCCCAGCCCACCCATGCAATCCTCATGCTCCCTGACCATAACAGGTTGAAGTGCTGAGTCAAATGAAATGCCCTGGCATAGGGCACAAAATGACTACTTATAATGCTCATTGACATACCAGTAAACTGGGTCCAGAGTTGTCAATTGATAGATTAAAATGTTTCTGCAAGACATTTGACATTCTTTATGCAGAACCAAAGAGGTATTATATGGCTTTAAGAAATTATTGTTTCTGTATAACTCATTCAGAATTATAATCTGGCTGTTACAGGCTGTACTCAAAGATCAGAACTACAGGGTCTTAAAAATGGCAGCAGATACAGATACCACTGCCCTAGGAAAATCTGTTATACATTTAGAGGAATCACACTCTTCTCTAGCTGAAATAGTTCTCCAGGACTGAAGAGGTCTTGATCTAAAATTCGTTCAATTGGCCCCCCTGGTTATCATTTCTTCAACAAGGGGGCCTATGCAAGGCATTAGGAGAGCAATGCTGTTTTTATGTTAACCACTTAGGGGTCATTAGAAACTCCATGGCTCTGCTGAAAAGTGGATCCATGAGAGAAAAGCAGCAACAACAAGAAAACCACCCGTGTCTGCCTTAGCTAGCCCCTCAATGATCTTGCTTCTTTTGCTTATCATGTGATGCAGCAAGACAGTAACCTAAGCAGTCTGGCAAAGGGCTTAGAGTAACTTCTGAGCCCATGAGTCTTGACGCTTTGTGGGTTAAATTTTTTTTTTTAATAAGGGTAGCCTAGGACCATCTGCATGACAGATTTTTGCATTGAGATTCATATCAATGACAAAACTATAGTTGTGAAATAGCAATGGGAAAAATTTTGTAATGGGGGTGGTGGTCACCACAACATGGGAAACTATATTGAAAGGTCAAAGCATTGGGAAAGTTGAGAACCAATGGCTTAGAGAACGTCTCTCCTCATCTAAGGTCTATTAAAGCTAACAAAGACTAATTTATGCCTAACCTTCTCACTTTTACTTCCATATTGGTAAGTTTTAAAGGAGGTGAGGAGGGTCCCCAATCCCCATACAGGAATTGGTGAAAATGGCTTTTTTTAAACACCCCAAAAAGAGGCAGCTGAGTCTTCCTGACCGGCCCAGCTGCAACAGAAGGCAACGCTCCAAGCCCACACCTTGGCAGCTGCCCTGAGGCCACCAGGCCCCCATAAAGGGAACAAGGGAAGTCCATCCTGCTCTATCCCACTGGAGCTCAGCCCAAGTCAGGAGCTTGCATCAAATGCAGCCTGGAGCCATTGGTCACGGTATTGCCCAATCCCTTGGTCATACATCCTATGCACCTGCCGGGCCTAGTGAGTCTCCCAGGCCCCTTTTTGCCTACACCATTCCAAACCTGCAGGCTGATCCCTGTGCAGGCTTGAACTCTATGCCATGCCATGGAGGTCCAGCCTCACCGACACTGACATCTGACTCTTCCAGCCTTTGAACTCCTCAGCCTGGTGGCGGACTGATAGCACCCAGACTCGGTGACTCCCATTCCCCTCTTCAAGCCTGGGGTGACAATGCAGATGTCGGGTAAGTCCATTGACTTTCTACTGGACTCACATTTAAGAGAAAGCTGGGACTGCCTCCTTGGGTGGAAAGCTGTCTCACCTCTGTTCATTTACTTATCCTTCTCAGATCTAATGGTGTTTGCCAGTTTTTACAGCTCTCTCCCAACCCCAAGCATCGTGGTAGCTCATTAACAAGTTTCCTGTTAAAAGTACAGGCAGGTGTGCCTCATTCACAGACTCCATGGTACAGGAGAAACTGATTTCAGATGTAACTTTGGAGGTTCAAATTATAATATTGATAAATGCAGTTTTGATAAACTGATAGAACACTGACTTCAAAGTTTTTTCAGGAGTCCTTCAATTTTTATCCTTTTGCTATGATACAGATATAAATTTATTCCAGTTGTTTTACAGACACTTGCAGGTTCCTGCACAGGTCTACTCCTCCTGCCAGACTCATGCCAAGGCCAAACCCTCAGGAGCCCTTCAGAAACACCACCAACTGCTGCACCAGCTCTGAGGACACCAACCAGGTGAGTACTGACAGGTTGATCTCACCCATGTCCTCACTCATGAAAAGTTCCGTTATCTCTTAACTCTTACTGACACCTTTACAGGATGGATGGATGCACTCCTAACCTCCAAGGAAACAGCAGATGGAATGGCTCCTGTACTCCTGGAACTCATCCTCCCTCGATTTGGTGTGCCATTCCCCCAAGCTCCTGGAACATCAATGCTGGTACCACCACACCAGACTCAAGGGCATGTCTGCTCTTTCATCTGGCTCTTCCACTCTTGCCTCTTCTGTACAACCAGAACACTTCTCTGTTCCACTTTTCTGGCAGTTATCATTCTTCCCATGGCTAGCCCTAAACATGGGGCTGATGATAACAATTTTTTTTCCTAGCAACCTGCCTCCTCAGTTCCCTCAAGGGATCTCCAGGATGACAGCGAACTGAATGCTTCTTCACTCACACCTCCCACTGTGCAAGACTCCCAACCTCCCCCTCCCCACTCCACCCCAAATCAGCCGGAAGCAGTCTCGAGAATTCAACACCTTCATCACTCCCCACTTGCTATCCATAACTCACCTCTTTATAATAATCAAAAGGGAGGGATGCTAGCATTTAGATATTACCTGGCCCACCCCTGGGGGATCTGTCAGGATGCACTTGCTAAACCAGGCAAATAGTTAAGACAGTCCAAGTCCTATGGCTGTATGTCATTACACAGTAGTGCTGCATGGATGCATAGTCTCTATGCACAGGCACAGAGTCTCCTTTAAGAAACTCCTCCCTCCCTCCCTCCCTCCCCCCTCTCTCTTCCTCTCTCTTGCCATGAGGTTGCATGCACCTCCTCTCTTCCTTTCTTCCCTCTTTTCTTTCTCTTCTCTTTTTCCTTCTCTCCTCAGCCCCTGACCATTTTCTCTTTCTTTCCCCTTAATAAAACTCTCCACCCCTTAATAAAACTCTCCACAAGAGTGCTGCCTGCATTGTGTGAGGGACTTTACACCATGCCCCCTGGCTCCACCTGCCAAGGCTGCCACTGTGCCATTTTAAAATACAATACCTGTATAAGAAGCACACAGAATACAGACAGAACCAGAAAAAGAAACTCCCATAGCATAGTGTAGTTAAAACACTAAAGGTGTCCAGAACAAAAAAAGCATATTGAATGAAAAAGCCCATCAAAAGAATAGCCGACGTCTCTGCCGGGCGGTGGTGGTGCACGCCTTTAATCCCAGTACTTGGGAGGCAGAGCCAGGCGGATCTCTGTGAGGTCGAGGCCAGCCTGGACTACCAAGTGAGTTCCAGGAAAGGCGCAAAGCTACACAGAGAAACCCTGTCTCAAAAAACAAAAAAACAAAAGCAAACAAAAAACAAAAAAATAGCCAACTTCTCAATGGAAACTTTAATGTCAAGAAAAGCCTAGACTAGTATACTCTAAGTCCTAAATGATCACAGATGCAAATCCAGACATTTACCTGGCAAGACTATCAGCCATAGTTGAAGGACATAGAAAAACTTTCCAATGTATGAACAGACTAGAAGATTCATGTTTGATAATATGATAGATGGTTTGAAAATGGAGCAATTAAATTAAGAGGATAATTAATGTAGATGGGATTTACCTAGTGTCAATTATAAATATTATTTGTTTGATCATTTTTGTTTTATCATTAAAAAATTAGTCAATATGAGTACCAAGATAACAGTTTTAGAAACACTTGTTAAAACAGATCATAGAGATATTCAGACCCAGACAGAGGAACTTAAAGGAGACCCAATCTCAGCACTGCATTATAAGGTTACAGAGAAACAGCCTAAGACTTTCAAACTGCCAACCTTTATTTATCCAGGAACCTTACAGGAACTACCAAATGATATATATCTCCTAGACTGTGTGAGAGCTGGATGGATTTCTGTACAAATGTTAGATTTGAGGAGATTCAAGGAAGTGATAGTCTCATATGGCATGCATTCACCTTTTGTGAAGCAGATGGACAACTTATAATAGAATTATCCCTCAAGACTGGAGAGATTTCTTTACAGCAGTTTTGGAGGCTGGTTCTAATTACAGTGGAGGACCTGGTGGAAGGATGAGGCTAAGACCATTAAACAAGGAAGTAGGGCTAGAAGTATGGGAGTCTCCCAAGACCAACTTCTTGGAGAAGGAGATTACGCTAATGTAGAAAGGCAATCTCTATTTGATGACCACACCCTGGCTTTATGCCAAGCAGCAGCCTTGAATGCTTGGGACAAAATTGAAGAAGTAGAAAAGAAAATTA